GATAAAAAAACCAATCAATCGTTTCCGAAGAACAATATTTTTGTTTAAAAAAAATCGAGAGTTCCCATATCGATTTTCAAATATTTAAATTGTCAGTAGCGAAGAACATAAATATTCTGAATATCGATACTAGACATATTCAATATATTAACTATCGATGTAACGCGACGAGAGAATATTTTCTGACAGAAAAACCAATCAATCGTTTCCGAAGAACAATATTTTTCTTGAAAAAAAATCGATACTTCCCATATCGATTTTCAAATATCGCAAATATCGATATGTCGCGAGTAAAAGACCCGTTCTCCGACGAAAGCCATGAAAAAACCTTGCTAAAGAAGATTTTTTCCACGTAAAAAAAATCGATATTTTTTATATCGATACCGAGCGATTGATGAATTTCAGATATTATTATAATTGGTCGAAATATGGGAAATATCGATATGAGAGAGGGGTTTAAGCTGGTGAACTAGGTGGCGCCACATGGTCGGTTAAAAAAGGAAATATCAAAGTAAAAAGGTATAAAGAGGTTTTGGAAGTTGTGGAGTGGAGGCAGTGGAGGTATGTGAGCCCGGGCGATGCTCAATGTAACATGTAACCCGGGGAGGGGCAGTGGCACTGGTTCTCTCGGCAATTCTCGGGTTCTCTCTCCTCGAAGGAGTTTGTCGACTGTAGGAGGTGGAATGGAGGAATGGGGAAAGGCACAAGACCCAAGGCAAAAGCCAATGCACAGCTAGAATTCAGTGAAGTCTCGTTGTAACCCTCGAAGAGCGCCATGAAACTCTGTGATCCAGTCAAAACATATCCCGGGATTTTAGTCAATTCGACAAAAACCAGTCATTGATTTTATTATCATATATTATATATTTTTTACAGTTAGTCTGTGATTCGGTGGTGGTGTGGATTTAGATATTTCAACTGTAATTGTCATGCTATCGTCCGCTGATTGTTTGAACATCGATGATTGACACAAGTGTATTGGCACGGGTGTCACGAATTTATTTGGAATGATGGCTGCTGCTTGCCATCGGACAAGTCAATTCAGTGCACAGGTGTCCATCTCTCGCTATATTTCACCCTGGAGTTTATCGTGATAGTGAAGTTTGTCTTCCTCACGGCTTTTATGGGTATTTTGTGATATTGGTGATTGATTTTATTGTTAAATACCTGGATTTCATTCTGGATAAAAATGACTGGTCGGAGGGAGCAGGCGATATTTATTTCTAAGCGTCAGGTTCTTCTTGTACTCGTTGTACTAATCGCTGAGGTGAGTTTTATTGTTGTCAAGGTTTTTTAGTGATGCTGGTCATTGGTAGTGTTTTTTTTTTTGTGGGGCTTGGAAAGGGGTCAATTCGAATTGACTTGAAATTCTTGGACATAGGCTGGTGGCGCCTTGCGAAATCACACTTTCCCGCGGAGAGAAACCCAATCGTCTATGGACTAGCATTATTTTGTTCCATTTCTTGAGAGGTCATGAATCATTCATCATTATTGTTTTGGAATTGGATATTATTGGAACAATTTCCCGGTGATTTTCTCTTTCCATCTACATTTTCCATATTTTTTAAAATAATTATTACTTGGGGACATCTGCACTTAGTTTTTCATTCAAATAATAATTCAACGGTTTTAATGATTGTTGATTGATTTGTCGTCGATATTATTCGTTATTATTATTATCTTAAAATTGATTTTTAATGAAGGGCAGGGGTAATTAGTAGAGATGTCAAAAATTGTCAATTTTTCTCTGTAAGTTTTGCTTTTTATTATTATACTTTGCTTACTAATTCTTTTATTCTATAAATCA